CCCTCGTCCTCACATCTCGCGTTTTTTCTCAGTGTCACTGGCCCGGCCAGTTGTGCATGGACATCTGGTTTCCCTGAGGACAAAGACAGAAGTCAGTGGCTTCCTCAGCACGGCTGAGGTCACACCTGGGAGAGTGCAGAGGGGACCTGGCCTCTGCTTGGTGGTGCTCCAAGCCCTGCATGTCTTGCTCCTGTTACACGGTGCGACATTCTCCAAGCTCAGGCCCCCCGGGGTGCTTGTTAGCAAGGGCCAAGAAAAGTCTGGAGGACTTCTTGTTGCCTGGATACCTGGTGCCTTGGTCCGCTCAGACTCCTTAGGGACAACGCGGTCTGTGTGACTAGGGATGAAAAACCTGTGGCTCTCTGCAGTCTGTGTAAGTGACCGGGATGTCAGCACACTTTTTAAAACTTTTTTTTTTTTGACTGTGGCTTTCAGTAACAAATACTTTTTGTGTTGGGTTTGGTAGTGCACACTTGTAATCCCAGCACTCAGGAGGCTGAGGCAGGATTGCTTCGAGTTTGAGGACAGCTTGGGCTGTGATCCTGCCTTTGCTTCCTGCCCCGCCCCCCACCATAAAGTCCTCTGTGCAGTGGCCGGAGCCCCTGCACAGTGACAGGACAGACACTACCTCGTCGCCCTCTGGGCTCTGTACTGTGTTTTGTCACATGAAGGAGCTCTGGCCAGGAGGGAGAGGAGAGAGGGTGGCAGAGGCCAGTGCCTGCCTGGGGAAGGACAGCCCCCACCTGTGCTCCCTGCCTGGCCCCCAGAGCTCCTCCAGGCCCGCGCTTCCCCCTTCCCCCGTGAACAAGCACTGGGAGGCATTTGGAGGGTCACAGACACGGCCCACCTGTGGGGAGAGGGACAGGCAAATGGAGGACTAAAAAGTCCCACTGAAGATTAAGATTTTTGCTTTGATTTGTTTTGTTTTTCAGATAGGGCCTCACTGTGTTCTTCAGAGTGGCCTCAAACTCATGGTGATTCTCCTGACTCAGTTTCCCATGCCCCACCGTACCTGGCTTCATTTTAGTTTTTGAGACAGGGTCTTGCTATTATTATTATTATTATTCAGGCTGGGCTTGAACTTGTGATCCTCCTGCCTCTGGCTCCCCGAGTGCTGGAATCACAGGTGTCCATCACCATGCCTGGCTTTTATTAGTCCAACTTTGCAGTATGTAATAGTCGCATTCCCCACTGGGAGTCAGGCATGTACGTAACACCTCTTAATTACTTTCTGAATGGTAGGGGAAAAAATACAAAATAATCTCTCACTTTTGAAACAGCCCAATCAGATCCTGAGAGTTTGTCCCATCCTGATTAATTGGGAGAGAGGCTCATTGTTCAGCCTCTAGGGTACAAGTTCTGTCATTTCTTCTTCTCCAGATAGGAAATGAAACCTTAATGTTTTGTTCTAGAACTTGATTCTCTTTCATCAAAGTCAGTTGCCCCCCCACCTTTACACTGAGCTGCATCCCCAGACTGTTTTTATGTTTTATTTTGAGCCAGGGTCTTACAAATTGTTAAGTTGCCCAGCCTGGGCTCGAACATGTAATCCTCCTGCCTCAGCCTCCCAAAGTGCGAGGGTTACAGCCTTGTGCCACCATTCCCAGCTCAGACACTTCTCTCCTGTAAAGGAAACACATGCTCTATTGTCTTTCTTGTATCTTCACCATCATTCAGGAAAAAACCCAGAAATCTTCGGTCCAAGTGGGGGCAGAAGTGTCCTCTTTCTTTCATTTCAGGTGAGGGTGATTATAATGGTAATAGGAGAAAAGAGAGGCCACCATTCTAACCACCAAAAAGTGGCTCCTGGGTATCTTAGTTCCTTGAGGCCGTTATGACAGAACACCAAACCCCGGGTGACTTACAAACAGCAGGAACTTCTCACTGTGCCGGAGGCCGGGCATCCAAGATCAGGGCTGCAGCGGGCTTGGGCTCTGGCGAGGGGCCCCTCAGGCTCATGGAGATGATGTCTCCTGGCTATGTCCTCGTGGGGCAGCTGGGCAGGTGGCTCCCTGGGGCTTCCTCTGTGAGGATACCAATGCCATTCAGGAAGGTTCTGCCCTCGTGACCTGACTGCTTTCCCAAAGCTCCATTTCTAAATGTTGTCACCCAAGATTCAGTTTCAGCGTGGATGTGGGAGCGTATGAGTGGCCATTCTGTAGCACTGTGGTGTAAGCCAGGGCCCTGCAGAAGGCAGCACCACAGGCTCTAGTCCCTGTGGTTTAATCCTCAACTCAAATAATATAAAAAGGCCAGGAGGCTGAGGCAGGAGGATCACTGTGAATTTGAGGCCACGCTGGCCTAATATAGTTAATTCAAGACCATCCTGGCCTATATGGTGAGACCCTGCCTCAAAATTGAACGAATAAATCAAATGACACAGCCATGAAGCATTGCCCTCCTACCCTGACTCCCTCCACGATCTGCTCTAGTAAACTGGGAACCAAACCCCAACTCCGTCATGTCCTTAGCTGCAGGATCTGAGCAATCCCTGGACTTTGCAAGCTTCTGTTTTCCTGTGTGTGAACTATGACCTTAACGTGAATAACGTTAGCTAGCATTAGCTGGGGTTAGTTGGACCTTTCTTTATGGTGGGCTCTTTGCACAGGGCACCCCTCCTAGCCCTCACCATAGCCCTTGAGAAAGCACTGCTGTTTCTTCTGACTCACAGATGGGGAAACTAAGGCCCCGAGTGACTTCCTCAGGGCTGCACAGGAAGTGGGACCCCAGCAGCCGGTGACGGCCAGGGCTGGCATGGTGTGAGTGGGCGGGTGCAAGTCCCCTCCTTGGGGTGACACGTGCTGCTTCGTTGGGGGTTGTGGTGACAATCAGAGGTGTCAGTGTGCCCAATTAAGGATACCAGAGCTGGGTGGCATCACTTCTAGGTGGGCCTATGGGCGTGGAAGTCATGGACTGCGGAAAAGATCAGACCCCAGGTAGCTGGGGACCCGCACAGAGCAAGCAGGCAAGAAACAGTGAATGCTTTCTCTTCCAGAGAAAGATGCCCTACTTCTTGCCATCCACATCCGAACTCCCGGTTCTCTGGCTGTGCCCGGTTCTCCCGGACTCACATTCGTGGCCCCCTGGGTTCTTTAGCCTTGATCCTGGGACTGAGAGTTGGACCAGTGGCTGTCTGGGTCCATTCCAAGGCCCCCGAACCGAGCCCCAGGACGCCATCCCAGGGGCTCTACCTGTGGGCCGCCGCCTGTCGTGGGACTTCTCGGGCACTGGATTCCCGCTCAGTCCCTCCGGTGGGCCTACCTAGAGAACCTGGGGCAGGAGTCTCTGACCGTTTTGGTACCAGGGATCTGTTCATGGAAGAAAATTTCAACAGCCAGAGTGGGGATGGTGGGAGGAGGTTTGGGGACAATTCAAGTGCATCACATTTTGGGCCAGTTTATTTCTATTATTACATAGCGTACTTTATTTCTACTATGATTATATCCTGCACTTTATTTCTATTACTATCGTGTTAGATTCGCCTAAGAAGCGGCACCCTAGATCCTGCACATGCGCAGTTCACAGCAGGACGGGAGCTCCTAGGCGTCCGCTGCCTCCCTGGTACCACAGGAGGGGAGCTCAGGGGGTGACAGACACATGGGGGCGGCTGGAAACAGGCAGAGCTTCGCTCCCCACCCCGCTATCACTTCCTGTTGTGTGGCTGAGTATCTAAGGGCACAGTGGCCCAGGGGTTGGGAATCTCTGTCCTGTTGGTTCTTTGTTTGGAGAAGCTCTGTGTATCGGTCTCTTTTGAATGCTTTTCTTAAAGGACCATCTTACTCATCTTCTCTAGGGGACTAGTATGGAGGGAGGTGGGAGGAGGCCTGCTTGCTGGTGTGCTGTATCACACACTGATACGATGTTTCCAGCAGCGGAACCTCAGCTTTTGCAGCCTGAGGGTGTGTGTGTGTGTGTGTGTGTGTGTGTAGAGAATTCTACATGTGGCCCTCTCTCCCTCCCTTGGACCGACTGATTGCAGGAAACAGTGGCAGAAAGGAGTGGGGATCGGTTCCTCTGCTACTCTGTATCACTCCCAAGTTTCCAACCTTGCTACTTTGTATAACTACTAGAGTTTCTACCCTACTACTTTGTATATCACGCCTTAATTTTGTGTCTTGCTACTTTGGGTGTGAACCAATGACCCAAATGACAATGTGCTCTGATGTAAAGACTGTGTCTTTTTCTTGACCATAAAACTGACTGAAATCCAAGGGCCCCAGGGGACCTTGGCAGGTGGAACTGTGAGGCCGGGCCTTGGTTCCCAGTACTATTTGGGGGTTTGAGGGGGGCACTTGAGTTTCTCCCAGGCTTGTATCATTCTCTCTTGTCCTGCCACTAGGTGAGCTGGTGTAACTTCTGAGGGGAGTAGCTCAGTGACTGGGAAAACCAAGGACATGCCATTCTACAACCCATTCACACAGTGCTGTAGTTTATTTGCAAAGTATTAACTTTTTTTCATTATCTTATTGAGTGATTTATCATCAGATGTATTGGGGGTTGAACCTGGGCCTTTACACTGAAATATAGCCCCAGTCCTTTAATTTTTTTTTAATTAAAAGAATGTTTAGGACGGCAGGGATATGGGGAAAAGATGAGAACCAAGATCTGTCATGTAATAGTACAAGATCCCAATGATGAATGTAACTGTACTGTATACCTAAAAAGTACCAATAAACTCAATAAAAAAAGAAAAAAAATTTAAATATGTATTTATTTTACTGGTTTCTTGAGACAAAGTCTCACTTTGTAGTTCAGCCTGGCCTTGAACTCACTGTGTAGCCCAGGCTGGCCTCAAACTCGAAGCGATCCTCCTGCCTCAGCCTCCCGAGTGCTGGGATTATAAGTGTGCACCACCACACCTGGTTTGTTGTGGGATTTAAGGAAGCTCAGTGTGTTGACATCATCAGCAAGTGCACGTCCCATAGGAACAGCCAGACTTACCTGACTTGGTTGGAGCTGGGTGGTGGCTGACCTGATTTCTCCATGTGGTCTTGTTGCAGGGATGCAGCCCGGAACCCCAGGCACGGCAGCGCTTTGAGCAAAGCCTGGTGACAGGCAGGGGCTCTCCCCACCAGCCTTGCTAACCCAGCATCAAGATGCTGAGCCTGAAGCTCCCCAAGCTGTTCAACATAGACCAGGTGCCCCAGGTATGTGCCGAATTTGCATCAGGTGAGCCTGGGTGTGGCAGGCCACTCCCCTCGGGGGAGCCCTCTCACACCCTCTTGAGGAGATCATCATCGCCCTGCATTCCCAGCAGTGGAAGCTGTATCTCCTGCGACGCCTGTGCTCCTTCCGGAAGCAGATTGTCCGGCTCACAGATTCAGGCTGGAGAGGAGGTGAAGCAGTTGGAGGTAGATTTTTGGGGCCCCCTGTGGGCTCTTGAAAGCAGGATGGGGCTGCGGTCACCTCTGCAGCTTTGCTGTCATCCTAGTCCCTTGCCAGAGGCCTAGGCCAGGCTGGTGTCAGAATGACGGCAGGGGCTGTGGAGGAGACCTTAGTGCCACCTTTCCACGGACACCTGGGCCTGGGAAGCCACCTGACTCACCTGCACCTGGCTGACACTGGCCTCATCAGCCCTCAGGGACGTCACTCTGGTGGTGCCCAGGGACAATCGGGTAACCTCCTTCTCCCGGAGAAGCCAGGGTGTTACCGAACCTCAGTGACTCGTGTCTCTGCAGCAGATTCCTTTCCTTGGAGAGTGGAGTCAGGACAGTATTATTCATGTCAGGAAGTCTCACTTGGGTGGTGGTGGGGGAGGCTGAAAGCCCCTTTTTACCTGGCTGACTGCCGAGCACCACCCCCCAATAACTCCTACCCAAACTCAGATCCACACGTGGGAGATTCAAAAGAGACGCCTGCCAGGATGAACCCTGAAAACCTGGGGTGCAAGGTGACCCTGGGAAGGTGGCAGTGGCTGTTGGAGGGGACAAGCACAATTCACAAAGGGGGACGCTGTTCCTGAGTGCAGCCTCTGTGCACCCCTGGCGTGACTGCCTGCGGAGCGTGGTAGCGGTGCCCGGCGGGACCTCAGGGTGACTGATGTATTTACTCTTGGTGGTGTTTTCATCGACTGCTTCTGGTGGGCACAATGCTACCCCACAGTGTTCAGAGGACAGCTGCTGACAAATCCTGTCTGTGCTCCTATGTGTCAGGAGGGTTAGGGAGCATTTTGTGAAGGTTAGGGACACACAGTTTCACAGAGGGGATTGGCCACTTTTGTCATGGAGGAGGAAGAGGTCAGGAAAGCATCTTGAAGGGATGATCTTCCTCCCTTCCTTTCCTTCTTTTCGTTCTTTTTTTGAGTACTGGGGATTGAAACCAGGGTCTTTGTACTGAGCTACATTCTTAGACATGCTCAGTTGTTGAGATAGAGTCTTGCTGAGTCAATAAATTGCCCAGGCTGGGCTCAAACTGGCAATCTTTCTGCCTCAGCCTCCTGAGTGCTGGGGTCATGGGTGTGCATTGCCTGACGTGGCTCTTTATTTACAGAGCTGAAGACAGCAAAACATCCAGCACACCCACATCTAATTATTAGCACACATATCTGGGTGTTATGTTCATGGGTTAATGTCGCTTGAAAAAGTAATGAAGCAAAAACATGCATAATTTATAAATTATTACATTTATTCTGAAATAAAATTTTTCTTTCATTTCAGCAACATTATGAATTATGGTGTTATAATGGACATTATCATATAATTTGTGTTTTGTTGACAAAGATACTGAGATCAGCATTCTTGAGTTGTTACAATTCTTACCTAAGAAATTAGCCAGTACATACTTGTAATCCCAGCACTCAGGAGACTGAGGCAGGAGTATTGCTGCAAGTTCAAGGCTATTCTGGGGTACATGGTGAGTTCAAGATCAGCCTGAACAGTACAGCATGACCTTGTCTCAAAAAGTTTAAAAAAACAGACAGAAATGAAAAAAAAAATAAATTAAGAAATTAATTCAATTGGGAGATATTTCTGCTGAGTTTCTGCTCAGTTTTGCTGAGGTAGAACAATTGGAATAATCAAAAGATATCCTCAAGTCCACATTTAATCACTGCAGTAAGAGTACATATAATTATTTATGCCAAAAATTGTTTTAATTTTATATAGACTACTTTCTCATATTGCTATTTTTCCTCTCTAGAAGCAATGTCTAGTTAATACAATATTATGATTTCGTTAAGAAAAAAGATACTACTATCAGGAAAACTGAAAATAACAGTATTTTTTTAGTCAAAATTATACTACAAGCTGCAAAGTCCAGAAAAAGAACCTTGATAGCTGGGCGTGGTGGTGCACGCCTGTAAGCCCAGCGCTTGGAAGGCTGAGGCAGGAGGATCGCTGTGAGTTTGAGACCAGCCTGGGCTACATAGTGAGTTCCAGGTCAGTCTCAACTACATAGTGAGACCCTGTCTACAAAAAAAAAAAATTTTTATATATATGTATAT